TTTAGTAATGATTTTTGCTTAGTCAAAGATCTGTTTATTAGTTATGACTTTTGTTTAGACAAAGACTTTTATTGATATAAAAAATCCCCTATCCCCTATCCCCCATGGGGGACGGGGCACTGCAACTCCTCAAAAATCAGTTTTCTGCCTTGGCCCCGACCATATTACTGTCGTGATGTAGGGCGGCAGTAATATGACAGTTTTGACCAAACCCATATGAGTAGTATTTATCTTAAATTATTTACTCTTATAATTCTCAGTCCACATCTACTTTAGAGTGAAAATTTATTTAATTTCACTTTAGAACAACGATTCATATGTATTTATGAAAAAAGTCTTTTATTTTTTTCATTGAATTACTTTCTTCAATACACAGAACATTTTTTCATGCACTACACCATTCATTTGTCATACTTAAACAACCATCTTTGTTTACATGATTCCACCATTCTTGCTATTTCCATAGTGAATTACAATAATTAGTCATAAAATTGTTGGAAAATGATCTAAACAAAATACATGCTTATTTAGTGACTAGCAATTAATATAATCAATTAGTTTATGCTGAAACAATATATTATTTATTTAAAAGGAGCAAAGAAATTTATTAAAATTATTTAATTGCTTGATTAGGTGTTCTTTTTCTTTACAAATATGTGTTTGCATTAAGTAATACCTATAACATATGAGATTAGGCTTAAATGGACCTTAAGGATATTTTTTTATACATTTATTATGTCTGGATGTTAACTCAAATAACTTAAATTTAATTATAGAATAGCTACTATTAATTAAAATTCATTCAGAAGCACTGTTCAATTATGATTTATTTATTTAACATTTTTATAATCAATTAAGATTAATTTTAAAAGAAAATAAATTCAATTAGCCATTTCTAAATTGGAGTCCCTCGATATTATTTTCTTCGATATACTTGGAGAGCACTAATTTAATAAATTAAATCAAGAGAGAAATGTCCTCATATAATTGATATGTTTTAGGATCAATTAAGGATTCATAATTTTCACGTCTAATTACGCTAAATAGATTTTAAGAGGCTATTGAGTGTTTAGACAAAGCTATATTAATTGATTCTTAGGATAATTATACATGAAATAATCAAGGTAAATTATTTACTAAACATTACTATTTAGGTTTTGCATTAAGGAAATTAAATAGATTTTAAGAAGCTCTTGAGTGCTATGAGCTAATTAGATTAATCCTTAACATGATAGTGCTTGGATTAATAAGGGTAGAACAATATATAATATATTTATTTAGGATTTGCATTAAAAAAATTAAATAGATACCAAGAAGCTGTTGACTATTATGACAAAGCAATTTAAATAAATTCTAAAAATGATATGGCTTGGAATAACAAAGGTACTAAAATACTAAAATTATTATTTAGGTTATCGACAGTTTAGACTAATCAATTTAAATTAATTCTAAAAATGCTTATGCATTTGAAAATAAAGGTAAAAATAAACAAAAAATTAAAGGTTTTGCATTAATTATTTAAATAGTCAATATGTTATTACACCAATTAAAAGAATCGATAAAGATCTTTCTCTTCATGTTAAACCTGTGACTTTGAAACTAAAAGGTAAAAATATAGTATGAAATCAGCTGATGCATTATTTGAATTAGGAAGGAGATCTGAAGCAAAATAATTGTATTTAACTGCATTGTAAAAAGGATCCAATGAGAAGGATTACATAAAGAAACAATTATCAAAATTATGAATTAGTATAATTATATTAAATTCTTATGATTACAAAAATTTTTATTGCTAAAACATACAAATATTTTTAATTAACCTAACTTTTTATGGATAAATTAAATAATAATTAAATAAAATTTAGGAAACTTTAAAAACTGAAATGGAAAAGTGCAATCAGCTCTATAATGTCAAACGGAAAATAGAAATATTCATTCTTTTAAATTTTCATTATTACTTATATCATTTGCATTTGCTTTTTGATCCAAACTCAAAAATACAAAGAGTATCTTATTGCTCATCTAAATATCTAAATGTAGTTTTAAGAAAGTCTGTATATTTTCTTCACCCTCTCAAACCAAATTTTAGAGCTAAGAAATAATTAATAGCAAAACATACAAATCCATAATATCTACAAATTAAATAAAGGGGACTTTGGATAAACTTTCTTGATAAATATTTATATTATATAAATATAAGAGTTCAGCTACACCCATATATAAGTCACTTCCCAATAATTTTAATTATATATTTCAACTTTCTCCTAATATTTGTTGATAAAGCTCTCTAATTAAATAGTAATAAATTAGATTTAATGAATCAAACTATACTAAATTAATAAATCTTAATTTTATAAGCATTCTTATAAATGCTAACTTCATCTTCTCAATGTTTAAGTATATCATTTAACTCTCATATTATAGTTAATTTTTGATTTTATAATCAAAATAGATATTCTATTAATTTTTCTCATTAATAATAAGTATTTTTAAAATTTCCTAATATGAGAATGAATAGCTTTTGTAATTTAAATCAATTATTCTAATAATTTAAAATTTTTTTCACCTTTATAATTGAATCAAAATCTTTAAACTTATTATTTCTGTCACTTTGTACATTTAATCGATTTTATGCTGTGATTATTGATTATAGTTATGTAATAACTCAAACTGAATTTAATTACATAATGAAACATTTAAATTCAATTCTTATCTAAAGATATGTAAAGGATGAAACTCATCTATATCTATTGAAGACTTATATCTTTATCATTCATAAAATATTTACCACAAAACCAAAACCAAGAAAATGCCTAAATTCTTGGGTAAAATATTCTTAAAGAATAAAGAAAAAAAAGTAGAATTTCTCTTTATAGGATTTCACTTTACTGTTTAATAATTGCCTTTCTGCAGTTTCCAGCTAGTATTTCCTGGGATTTTAATTATACATGAACTTATGATAAGTGAAAAATTGAACAAACTTTTCTTATGTAATGATTGTAAATTAAGAATATCAACAAGCAACATCCCTTTTTTTATAACTAATCTATACATAATTACTCTGCATGATTTATAATGATATCATAAATGTTTCAATATTTTGTTAGAACAATTTTTCAAATGGTACATATTTAGTTACATTTAATCTACCTACAGACTTTGGAATTAACTTTGGTTCATCGGCATATGCTCTTTTTTCAATAATTTTTTGCCTCCTCTTATATTTTTAGTTTAAATTTAAAGAAAAGACAAGGAATTTAGAATACATAAGTTCAGAAATTGAATTATGATAGTATAAAGCTGGCTTATATTCATAAAAATTTATAATCATTATTAATGTTATAGATTTAAGATAGGTTAAGAATGATCAAAAGATTAAACTTGAGGTTCTTACTAACCAAATATCTATAATCATATTAGTTTAATTCTTCATAAATCATTTTTTAGTCTTCCGAATTATAAATCATAAATGCACATATAATCTAATGATATATATTTTTTTTGTCTATCTTAAACTATTACTGTTTTTTTTTTTACCTATCAAATTGGAATTCTATTTTCTAATAAAAAGAGATTCAAAAGTTTAATAATAAATGAGGTGGATTAATTTTAAATTATATTTTTTACCTAAATTCCCTTTTTTCTTATGATAGAGAATAAATTTTCTGCTTCAGAATCATTTGATAATTATGTAAGGTAAGGAACACAAACATCAATGGTTCGATAGGGATTATGTGATACAACATTTTGTAGAAGGTTGGGCATAAGGAGAGAAGTGGGCCAAGACGCTAGATGAAATCAACATATGGGTACTGTCACAGAAAAAATTTGGAAAAAAATGTGCAGAAAAGAAGAACATGTAGATGAAATACATATCCAACAAAATTAAAGAAGTGGTGAAAGAAAAAGGGGAATTTTTCCTCAAGCAATAGAAATTAATCATAAAACATTACATATCATTTTTGTGTTTCAATAATTTATTTATTAATTTTAATATTGCTTTAAAAATATAAGAATTGTATGATTTATAATTAAAGATTTTTAGCCTAAAATTTCTTAATTTAGCATACCTTGGGGTTCACTTTTATTTATTTTCAACTTTTCTTACTATTTGAGATGAGTAAATTTGAAAATCTTTATCATTACTTTGAAATTTGCACCACTAATACGAATGATTCTTGATACTTATAATTTCTCATGATGCTTTTCAATTTGAAAACTTCTTTTTAGGAAGATTTATTCCTTCTGTCCATAGTTTTAGCAATTTATATTGACATTTTTATAGCCATTTACTATTAATCTTATTGAATAACGGCACGTAAAAATAATGATGAGATAGAAAGCTGCTACTCTTATTCTTTTTTCTGAGCCAATTTCAAGAAGTTTATCAGAAGAACTGTTTCTTCTAGTGCTAGTTTATACAATTATAAAATTTTAAAGTCTATATTGTATATTTCATAAATCAATAATTTTTCACTTGATGTTTTTCGAGGAAATAAATCCCCAATAGTGATAAATAAAAGAAATTAATACAATTTAAATATCTTTGAATTTTTCTAAAGAGGTTCTTCATATTCTTAAATCTTATCGGGGATCTTTATGAACATCTAATATGAAATTCTGTAAATATTTATTTAATCCTTTTATGGAATCTTTATTTTTGAATAATATATTTATAGGTTTAATATCTCTATGCATAATATCACTGAAATGGATATCTCTAATAGCAGTTATTAATAGCTTTAAGATAGTGTTACATATAAATACTAAGATATTTTCTAATTTATAATAGGTACTATTAATTAAGGTAAATAAACTAAAGTTAAAGTCATAAAATTGATTTTAATTCAAATTATTTTCATAATAATTAATATATAAATTCCATCTAATGTGAAATTCATAATTAATTCATATAAGTTTACTCCTTCCTAATTGTCTTAAATTAAATATACAATATTTTCTCTATTAAATACTTAATGTAAAACTTAAGCATATTCCGATCAAATATTTGTTAAACAAGTAATCTAATTATTAATTTGTAACTAAATACAATATAGAAAGAATTTTCAAACCAATATTTGCCTAGACATTTTATTTCATAATAATTATATTTTAATCTGTCAATGCTTAAATGTACCTATATGTTTAGAATCCTTTTCTTTGTCAAATTTTCCTTTTCCTAATTATAAAGATGATGAACTGTAATATACATTATTTTATATTTAATAGTTTATTCAGTTTCAAGACATAAAGATATTTTTTTCAATATTGTTCCATGTGACACTAAAACTTATGAGTTGCTAATCTTTGTTAACATTTATGCATACTTAATTAAGAGTAATCTTAGAGGAAGCACTTAAAGAACATATTTCTAATAAAAAATGTTTTTTATAGGATAAAAATAAACTTAACTAAGACTCCATTAATTTAATAATAGATTATTTCATTCAATTAGACCTAACTCAGATTCAACTCTTCTTACTAATAATCTAAATAATTTCACAATAATTCTATAAAATCTCTTCATAATATTAGTATTGTTAAACAGGAAGTTAAATAATATATATTTGTTGTGTAAAAAATCTTTAGAAATAGTATTCATCTCCATTTTTAAGCAAATCTTAAATTTTGAATTAGAGAGGCAAAGCAGACAACGAAGAAATGATGTTTATTTTCAAGTGCTGATTGAATCCATTCAAATAACATAATGATTAGTAAGAAGACATAGTTCCTGAATATCCTAGAAGTACTATTAAAAATTTATGCAAATGTTAGAAGTCTATTCTATTCATTTGATTTAAAAGATAAAGAGGAATTAACATAATTATTATATGAAATTATTTATGAAAATAATTGTAGTTGAGATAATGAATAAAAAATATCATCAATGAATCATTACTTAATAAGTATATTTTTTCATTTTTATAGAAGTAATTCTAATCCAAATTCAGAAATAATAAAAATTAAGGAAATCAATTTTGCATTAGAAGAAAGAATAAGATAAGAGATCTTAATGAATTAAAAAAATAATAAATTTAAAGAGAGGTTGATTCTTAATAAATAATAAAAAAAGACATTTAAAATCTTTAATAATAATTAGATATGAATAACGATAAAAAATAAAGAGAAATGATAGTTGTTAGTATTGATTAATAAAGTAAAGTTTAATAAATAACATTAGATTCTTAATACATTACAACAGATTAAAAATTGAAATTCATAATAAAATAAATGAGAATGTATAAATTAACATAAAGTTAAAGTATAAATTTTTAATAAGTTTAGAGATATCTAAACAATCATATAACAAACCTTTATTTGTATTTCTTTACAATTATTGCATGAAAGTTTTTATATTTAAATAATTTTAAAACTTCATAAAATTACTTCTTTATTTTAAATTTTTAAAAGTCTTTAATTATTAATATATTATTTTTGAAAAAAATAAATGGGAGGGGAGAAAAATATCAAAAGAACTTTGACGATTTTTGACATAATCAAATAATTATTTATTTCAAATATTAATCAAGATTCTTAGACGCTTGAATTTGAATATAGAATAATTTATAAAGAAAAACAATTCTTATAATTCTATTAAAAAAAAACTTAATGAATATTAATTTAAACTAAATTTAATAGAAAAAGCATAATCTTTATAATTTAATAGTCATTTATAATCCAGAAATAAGTGAATCTCTACACTCAAATTTAATAGAATACTCTGAAGGTATAAACAAAACCCCACCTTTATTTATTTGTTATGATATCAATAATAAATTACCAATATAACTTGAATCGGTAAATTATATTGTTAATGTCTAACCTGGAATAGCAAGAGTTGAAATTTAATAATTATATCGTACATAACACTATTAGGTTCCAATTTCATTAGAATATATGTTCATAATAGATAAATAATCAGCTGTAAGTAAGATAGTAGCTGAATTAGGTGAAGAAAAAGTTCAAGGTATAGTAAAAGAGCTGGAAGAAGTAAAATAAGAATATAAATATAAAGAAAGGCTTAAACAAGGAGAAATAATGATATTAAGTTAACAGGATAAATAAAATACTGATTTAAAAAAAGTAAGGATTGGATGTTTAGCACCTAGAAAAATTTTGAAAATTACCTTTGAATATATATAGCCTTTAAAAGTTTATTTAAACTAATTTTGGATACTAGAAATATCATCAATACATTAATTACAAAATTAACAGTTTAATTATTATTCATTTTATAAATAAGTATAACAAAGCATTGATTTGAAACGATTAGAATAAAACTATAAATAAAATATTATAGTAACAATTCATTTATAAAACTTATTAACATTTGTAAAATCCCCAACACATTAAATTAAATTGGAAAATAATTATTAGTAATTTTTCAATGTAAATTAAAAAAAGAGTTAAGTAATCTCCTTAGATAATAAATATCCATAAAATTTTGATCCAACTAAAAATTTTTCATTATTATTTTAATCTAATGATATCAATTAGCCGCATTCCTTTTTAACTCATACAAATAATCATGCTTTGCAACATGTAAAATTTTGTGCAACTTTAACATTAATACCTAAATTTAACTAACTACCTCCAGAAGATGCATATAATTCTTATATAAATGATTCAAATGTATCTACATAAACAAAAATGAAGCGAGAGAATTATCTTTTTTTAATTGATAGAAGTGGATCTATGGAAGGAACACGAATAAAGAAAGCAAAGCAATCATTATTTTTATTCATAAAAAGCTTGCCTGAAGATTGTCTATTTAATGTAATTTCTTTCGGTAGCAATTCAAAAAAAATGTTTGAAGAATCATAACAATATAATCAAGAATCATAAGATAAAGCAATTGATGATGTAAATAAAATGGAGGCTAATTTTGGAGGAACTGATATTTATAAAGCATTATAAGTTGGTATCTACAATAGAGAAAATAGGACTGCTAATTTGGAAACAATCAATGCATTTATATTAACAGATGGAGACGATTCTCCTGAAAGAATTATAGATTTAGTAAAGAATGAAAACAAAGCCAATTATAGAATTTATGCATTAGGTATTGGTGATGGATGCAATCAAAACTTATTGAAAAGTATAACAGAAATTGGAAATGGCAAATGCCATTTTGTTGCAGATAACGAAGACATTAATGCCAAAGTGATTGATTTGTTAGATGATTCTATGACATATTATTTAAAAGGATTTAAAATAGATTTTCCAAAAATTAATGTCTCTCAAATAATTCCTGATCCAGAATCGCTAACTTCAATTAAATAAAATGAAGAATTAGTAATATAAGTGTTATTTGCTAATCCTATTTAGAAAATTTTAGATTTTCATTTAAGTTGTTATGATCCTTAAGAAAATAAGAAAATCTCATACAAATACACATTTAATATAAATGAATCATAACAATCCGAGTACTTTCATAAGTTAGCTGCACATAAATTTATAAATTATTATGAAAATTCCTAATAATTAAACCTTAAAAAACTGAATAAAATTAAGGTCGATTAATGGAATTTCTATGATTAAGATTTGATTAATTTATCCATAGAAAATCAAATTTTATGCTCGAAAACAGCTTTTATTTGTGAAATCTGTAATTTAAAAGATAATTTTAAATAATAAATTACAGATAAAATTTATTTTTAAAATCAAAAAGTTGAATCAATATCAGATTAGTATTCAAAGGATAATGATAGTATGGATTCTGAAAGTTCTGATAATTCTATGGATTAATGTATGTAACCTTCAGATCCTATGTAAGTTTTATCTAGTGTAATGCCTTTATGTATTTAGGAACCTGATATACAGTGTTGTTAAGAAGAAAATCAAGAAATTTCAAAAGATTAATATGATTAAACTCAAAAATTGAATTCTTTTGAATAAAAAAAATATGGATAAACTGTTCTAATAAATTATATTGATTTATTTAAGTATGTATAGGCAAATGGAAGCTTTATTTTAGATGAAAGAACAAATCATTTAATCAAATTATTTAGTTTAGAGAATGAAAATCATTTAGAAAATATTTTATGGGCAACGATTGTCTCTTTATTTTATTTGGAATTACATTGCTAGAACGATAAAGCTTCTTGGTAATAAATTTATTAAAAAGGAATCAAATTTCTCCAAAAAAATGGCTAAGATTTCATTAAAATAAAAGCAAAATACTTTTAAAAGTACAAAAATTTATTTTAAAGTAGCAATTGAAATAATACTAAAAATATATAAAAATTTATTTGCAATAAAATTCAAAATTATTGTTTTCAATTAATTTATTATATAAAATAAATATAAGTGTAATGATGATTGATATTAAAACAGATGTAGATTTTTAATATCATAACGATTGAGTTAGGTTTTAAATTATTTATTAAATTTATTGTAGTTTGGATCATAAAATAATCTCTTTTATGTTTTAAGTCTAAAAAATTATAATTAGTCAAGAAAAAAATTAGCAAATAAATAATGACATATATCAAGTTAAGTTTAATTTATCATTAATGTTATAATAAGATTAAACTTTTAAATATATAAGATTCTAATGAATGGATAGAACTGATATATTTTTATTATTTGATTTCTTTAAATTTTTCTTTTATCATTAAATCTATTTCTACCTATTTTATTATTTTCACCTGTATCAATAACTTAAAAATTCTCTCAAAACTTATGGTTCATCTCAAACAAATATCCTACTTTAATTGAATTTCCCTCCACTTCTTTATATAATCCACCAACTCTAGAATTTTATTAAATTAATTTTACATCAATTTTCAATTAAATATTAAACCCCATCGACCTGTCTTTCTACCGTTTTTATATTCTCCTTTTCACTCAGCTCAATCCAACTTCCAATCTTAGTTGAATCTCCTTCAGTTTATAAATCTCCACCACTAAAAATTAAATTTAAATAATGTTTACATTTTTCTTACCCAAGCTACAATATTCCACATACCAACTCTCCCACAATTTTTATACTCACCTTTATATGTGAATTAAGAATCATCATTAAATTTTCACTCAATTCAACCCAACTTCCAATCTTAATTGATCCTTCATCTTATGGTCTATCACCAACTCTAATCTTTTTATAAAGAAGAATCAAATTAATTTATTAAATAGAAAATATTTAGTGGACCAATTATTTTATATCAATTAGTCTTTTAATTGAGATGTCTAAAAGTTAATATTATTTTGGATTTAAATAAAAACTTTTAATCAAAAATCCAACTCTTCAGATGCAGTTATGTTTTCGAATAAGGGTTTAACTATTTTGATGACTAAAATTTTACAAAATTATTCGTAAATTTTTTGAGCTTCTGGATTTAAAGTTTAATAAATTGTAAAATATTTGATTGACTCTTAGTATCTTTCTAATTTATATAGCAATTAGCCTTGAAAAATTAATTATTAATCTACCTTTTTTTAAAATTGCTTCCTCATAAAATAATTTGTAATTTATGAGTTGATCATAGCAAGCAATTGATTCTTCATAATTCTCTAAAATTTCTAATGTTTCACCTAAAATAATTATTTAAGATTAACATTTAGCAAATTATGATCTTCTATGGTTAGGGTCTAATTATGAAGCTTTGTCAAAACATTCATAAGCTTCTTATATTTTATTCAAATTAAATAAAGTCACACCTTATGATTATTAATGGTAATTTATAACCTTTATTAAAATATGGATCTCTACTCTTAGGAAAAATTTTAATAGCTTAATCAAAACAAACAATTGCATCCTCATATTGCTACAATTTATCTAAAGCAAGACCTAAAATTAGATTTAAAAACTACATTTATTAATATATGCCATAATATCAAAAGGTTTGATTTCAATTGCTTTATCAAAATAAGGAAGAGCTTCTCTAAATTTATTTAATTAAAGTAATGCTGTTCCTAAAACTACAAATAAGAATTCACCTTTATTAAAATAAGCCAAATAGTGTGTTGGATTTAATTCAATAGTTTTATCAAATAATTTGATAGCATCATCATGCTACTTATATATATCTAGATAACTCCTTAAATTATGAATTTTATCACTAACCTTTATAATTATAGGCTTAATCAAAATTTGGATCAAATTTAATTGCCAAATCAAATTAAAATAGCGCTTCTTCATTATATTTTTGATCAAATAATCGCAAACCTTTTATACAATTTTAGATAAACCTTTCTAGAAATATGCGAGGCTTATTTTAGAATCAGTCGAAATTATTTCATCAAAGCAAGCTAAAGAAATTTTAAAGTCATCTATAAAATCACAATTTTATAATAATTAATCTATAACTATATCTAAAAAATATTTATTGTAATACCTCTTTAACAATTTGCAACTTAGTTTTATTTATCTAATTTTAGTACTTAATTATAACATTTTAATGCTTTGAGATATTTCTTTTAATTAAATAAAGCCATTCCTAAAAAATCTTATCTAATTAATTACCTTTATAAAGGTATGCAAATACATTATTTGGATCCAATTTTATAGAATTGTCAAAATGGATCACACCTTTTTAATATTCTTTTAATTCAAGTAAAGTCCTACCTATAATTATAATTTTGTATTGTACCAATAGTAAATTGTGCTTTTGGATTATCAGGAATAAACTTTATAAAATTTTCAAGGTTTAATAAAGCTTCTTCATATCGATATAATTCAAATAATGAAAGTCCTAAGAGTAAAAATACTTAAAATACCTAAATATAATTATATATATGGAAATTTTGAGTCTTATATTTTTGCTTTTTATAGGAACTCTGTTGCCTCTTAGTATTGGTGTAAATGATATAAGCACAACCCTAATAAATAGAAATTTATTATAACCTAGATGGTGATTTGAAAAACTTGAATTTGGATCCATTTAAATCGAAGTGTTAAAATAAACTAGTGCGTGTTGATATTGTTGTTAGAACTCTAAGGTGAGTCCTTATAATTAATAGTTTTTTAACCTTTAAGAGAATAACCAAGTGGGTTCTAATGATCTATTTCTATAATTTTATCGAACTATTTCATTGCTTCCTCATATTTATTCATCATATTTAATATTAATCCTTAAAATTAGAAAAAAAAAACCTTTGCCTTAATAGGCTTTCACACTCTAAAAATCTTATTCAATTATTTCATCAAATATTTAGAGAGCTTCATCATATAGTTTTAAAGTAAATAAAATATTGCCTTAATTAATAATTTCTAAAGTACCTTTGTAAATTTTAAACTCTAAGTTTTAAGGGCTAAGATTAATAGCTTAATCTACTGAAACTATAGCTTAATGAAAATTTCCTAAATAGAATAAAGCTTATCCTAAAATTGAAAATAAAGCTAAATACCTTTTAAGTAATAAGTATTCGAACATGATGTATTTTCTATTATAGCTTTGTCAAATTAAATTATTGCCTCTTCATATTTTCCCAATCCAAATAGTGCAGATCCTAAGCTAAAATAAAAATTCATACCATATTCATAAGCATCTACTTCTTCTCCATGATTTAAGGCTTTATCAAAGCTTATAATAGCTTCGTCATATCTCTGTAATTAGCTTAACACACTCCCTATTACTGATTATATAAATCAAACCTTAAGCAACGTAGGCTTAAGAAAAATTTGAACTTAGATTTATTGCTTAATCAAAATAAGGCAAGGCTTCTTCATATCTCTCTAAGATTTTTAAACACATTCCTATAAAATCAAATAATTCAAACCCTTAAGGTAATAGGCTATTTCTTTCGTTCCACCAAAAGCAAAAAAATTATCTAAATAAGTAAGGGCTTCTTCGATATTATTTTACATTGCTAGCATTATACCTTTAATTCTGTAAATCTTAAATACCTTAATTAAGATATGGCTACATATCTGATGGAAATAGAGAAATATATTAATCATAACAGGCTGAAGATTTATTATATTCTTACAACTTATCTAAACAAACACCTAAAAAGTTACTAACAAATATTCTACATTTATTAAAAAATGCTACATGATTCTCTGAATCTAATTCTAAAACTTTGTTATAACTTTTCATAGCGTCCTCAAATTCATCGAAATAAAATAATGCATTTCCTATTTATATATTAATATTAATTACCTTTTAATAAATGCAAGATATAGCATTATGGATCTAACTTGATAGCTTTATCAAAATAATATATTGCATCAGCAAAATCCTAATAATTATGTAAGATTTTACCTCATCTTGAAGAAATATTTTTCCTAAAATCATAAAAGCAATATTATTATAAGGGTCAACTTCAAGGGCTTCGTAAAAATATTCTATTGATTCTTTGTATTTTCCTTAAAGATTTAACTTTTATCCTAAAAAATCTATAATATCATTAAACCTTTAATAACTAAATGCATGGAATAATATTTTGAATCAATTATCTTTTCTTCGTTTTCTTCAATAGATTCAAGAAATTTCTCAAATATATTTATTTCATAACCTATTAAATGAGATTATTATTACATTAGTTATTAAGGAAAAATTGATTTTGATATGATAAATTAGTTATCTAATAGCATTCTTATAAAGCGTATTCTGGTTCATTTATTTATTTTAAGTAAAAACCTATTTAGTATGTTGATCAAACCATTTGTTAATACTAAAATTGTCATCATGATGTTGAACAATTTCATTGATTAAATATTTTGAATCAATTATCTTTTCTTCGTTTTCTTCAATAGATTCAAGAAATTTCTCAAATATATTTATTTAAATAAGAATTGAATCAAATAGTATATTCAGATTAAATATGCTATCAAAATAATAATAATATTTCATTAGATATTACATTTATAGCAAAAGACCAAAAATCTTCTAAAACAACTTTTACCTGGATTAAAAAGAATTAAATTATTATCTTTCTGGCTATTATTTAAAATTTAAAATGAATCCTGAATAACTTCTCTCAATGATCTTAAATAATTTTTATTAATTTCATCAATATTGTTTTCAAAACAGTTTAACACAATTATATCATTAATTCCCTTTTGTCAATAAATACCGTCTGCATAATGAATAAATTATTTTTCTGTTTGAGATATTTATTCTACCTCTATTTTTAATTTTAACAATTGTGTTGATATGTCTTATTCATCAAATCTTTGTATTATTTAAAATGGTGCTTATTTTTCTTCTTTTTCCCTATCAGCATAAGAAATTGCTTTTATTTTTGTAACACAAACAAAAGTTATCAATTTTTTCTTTTTTTTTTTGTTAAAATATTATTCTAGACAAAAATGGAGAACATTTAATATTATTTAAATAATTGAACCTATATAAGGAAAAGAATTTAAGATCTTTAAAGTTGATTGTGCAACTTAATTCAATTGTGATGCAGCTATTTAAATAATAGTTTCAACAGCATTTTCATAATTAAATTAAATTTATTGATATAATAGAGCATGCATCAAAAAATCAAATTAATCTAAAGAAAAATAACAAAAAATAGAATCATTAGATTTTTTAAATTGATTCTTCTTATTTATTCATCTCATTTTGATTTTTTAACTGACAGATTTCTTTATTTGTTTAAATCATCATGCTTCGATTTTCATAATCTTTTCTTCTATTTATTCTTAATAATTAGAGATTTTTTTTGTTTCTTTTTTCATTAAAATTAAACCCTAAAGAATCATGTAAATGATATGATCTATTTTAATTTATTAATTTATTAAAATCTTTTGAACTTGGATACCATATGGATTGAAAAAGAAATATTTCTTTTTGAGTTTATTCTTCCTCTAATTAAATTTAATTTTAATCAATCTTTCCCAGTTGTATAAAAATGACATCTTTTAGAAAAATGATATTTAGCTATGATTAAATTTTCTTCTCCATCTTTGATATTTGCCTAAATCCAAAATAATTACAGCTATTGTAATTATTTAAATTAAGCTCTATTCATATATGCATCTGATATATTGGGATCTAATTAAATCGATTTCTTATAGGCCTTGATTGCTTCAATCTTTTTATTGAGAGTCTTATAAAAAATAGCTAAATCATATATATCAAAATTACCTCTATTCTTATATGAAGTAGCTGAAGTTGAATCAAGTAAAATAGAGTAATTAGAATCTTCGAAAGCTTCTTCATTATTGTTTATATCTTTAAATAGGATAGCTATTTAAAGAATTATTAGGTACCTCTGTTCTTAATGCAATGCATTTTAACGATTAAATTTAATTGATGTATTATATTTCTTATATGCTTCTTCTTGTCTACCTAAATCCGAAAGTAAATCAGCTATAAATAAAATATTATTTACCTTTTTATAAATACGCTGATGAATCTTTATTATTTTATATTATGATTGTTTTTGAGATTGTTAAGTACTAAGAACTCCTAAACCATCAATTTAAACCATAAATATTTCATGCCTAACAAATACTTAGCATTAAAATATTTCAAAGTGATTCCTTACTAAAATATTTTGATATATCATGATCAATACAATCTATATTTATTAATGATTATTCAATACTTTATTCATTTATTTAATCTTAATTAAAATCTTCGCTTTTACTTTGATTGAATCTTTCAGTACTTAGCCATCAATTTTTTTTTTTGAATTCATATCTATTTTCAACCTTATAAGAATTTAAGGAAGAGCAACACAATGAGCTAAATGAATAGGATTTATTTATATTAAGTTTTAATGTTCTATTTTTATTAATTTAATTAACTATACTTATGGTATAGTATCAATCCCAAAATATTATTTTATTATTAATTACTTAAATCATTACTTATTTTCACAGTATTGCAGTTAAATAAAACGTCCACCTTGATCTAAATTTAGAATTATTTATTTAGAGTTATCTTAATTCATAACATTTAATTTAACCATTAAATTAACACTTTGAAGGCAAACATAAAGAAAAAAGTTAAGTTCAATAATTCTGTCTAATTTCATATTGAATTGTACCTGAACTTCTAGGATGGTAAATATTATTTGTATTTTATTTAAACATATTAAAATATCAAAGCCAAATGAATTAATCTTTCCAATTTCTCTTTGTTGGTCTTGCACAACAGCAACAAGGTTTTATTTTAAAATCTTCCACCATCGTCTTATTGAGACAAGACTGAATGGTTTAGCTTCGTCCTCTTCATCCACATTTGTATTTTTGGTTACTTTGGCTAAATTTGATAAGGGGGTTAAGAAATATGCTTTAGGGTGGTGATTCATGAATATAATTGGATATGGAAAATATTACAATTAAAAAATTCTTTTGATAAAGAAAGAAAAAATTGAGAAAGTTTGTAATGAAATAATACGTCATTGAGGAACAAAAACTAATTTTGGCATAAACAAAGTACTAAATAAATTTAGAGTTCATTTATTTTTTCTATAATTTGAACTTTTTCATCATTATTGAAATAAATAAAAATAGAAAAATATTAAAATATAAAATGAAAAAGTATTTCTTTGATTGTTAAAGAATACTCCAATAAAAACTTTTAGGTATGGATATTTCTTTTTTAAACCACATAACATAAGTCTTGTAATATTTGATTAGTTATTTCATACTTGGGGTATTATTTGATGTTTCAATAAATTAATATATAAAAACTTATCAAATACCTATTACTATTCGATGAAATATACTTTTCTTCTAATTCATAACCTAAAATTTTAAAGAAAATTCAAATCCCTTCTATAAAAATTTTTATTTAAAAAATATTATTTTAATATAGTTTTCTTCATCTCAAGTTTAATTGTATTTTTAGCTATTTTGGATAAATTATGAGATAAAAATACTATATGAAATTTTGATGCTATGAACTTTTATATTTGGTATATCATTATGTATTCATAATATTCATTTTCTACATTAATCTATTGCTAATATAATATTTTTGTTAATGGACAGATGTAAAAATGATTATTAATTTATCATAAATAAAATTTCGATAATCTATAATCTTTCTCAAATTTCAATATATAAATATTCATATATTATTTAAATTGAGTCATATTACTTTAATTAAAAGTAATAAATTCTAATTTAATATATATTAATTAATGACGGATTATCAATATTTAATAATCAGATTAAATCAGATGTGGTGATTCATTAATTAAAGATTTTCAACTAAAATGAGTTTAAATTTTGAACACGCTAATGCACAAATTTCATTAGAGGAAAATGGAGAGAAATAAAGTACTAAAAGTTACTCATTAAATTTTTAAAATTAGAGCTTATTGTACAATCATTTTTATAATGAACATAAACTTAAAAAATTCATTATTGCTTTCTTTATTCTAGTGATTGTTATCAATTTTTTTTGCAATTTATCATTATTGATTGCAAATTTTCAAACTTAAGAGATAATCGAAGAATATTATTATTTACCATTTCATGAATTAGATTTTTGGGGGGCATTTCTATTTGCCTTGAGTGAGGGTTGTGTTCTCATATTAACAGGCATAGTGACATTAGATTCCATCAAGATATATTTAATAATAATTAATATAGGAGGAACTTTGATAGCTTTGGTATTATTTGTATTCAATCCTGAATTTTTTGAACCTGCTTCTCATTGGATAGAATACACTGTTTAATTACTTCTAACATTAACAGATTTTTTATTCATTTTTCAATTAGATAAAACATCCTTAATGTACAAATATAGATATTGTGAATCATTCATAATTATAGTTACATTTATTATGGCATTCATTAAACTACTTGTTTATGGGGAAGTTATTCCAACTAATAATGATGCAGAAAGATAAGCTCATTATTTAGAGTATAGTGGCGAAATGATAAATGATTGTTTTGCAATTTTTTTCATGGTTTGTTAATTAAACAAAGAAAATTTCGATATCTTGTAAACTATGTAGATTCAACTTGATCAACTATTAGAATTGAATGGAATTACCCCTATAAAATGATTGATATATATTACATTAGATCAAGATTAAAATAATAATATAATATTAATTACTATTAAAGCAGTTAATAATTGGTATAATACGAAAAGCTTAGACCTAATTTAATCGAATCCTCTTGATGATCTGCTAATTAATCTAAATTTAATTATCATTTTACTTAGCGAAAGGGCCTTTAATGTCTTGATCAAACAATATTTTTTTATTTTTTGTTCATTATATTGATACTGTAAATTTGATAACCACATAAAAACGTATCTCTATTTTAACCAGAATGCCGTATTAATTTGATACAACAATTATTTATTATTCATAGTCATAATTTGATATAGCAATTATCTATTATTCATAGCTATTCTAAAGTTTTAAAAATTTTTGTAAGATTAGAAATATCGTAATTTAATTATTCATCCAACAAAGAATCAAATAACTTAATTGAATTTTTATTAATGCATTCTATTTGCATTGATTGTAAATGCAATTTTTAATAAACTCTTCTTATTTAAAAATTAATCTCTTAATATTGTTTCAATTCCACAAAAAATAAATCTTTCACTTTTTTAATATCGATTTCTTCTCCAAATAAAGTGATAAAACTACTTTGAATGTATAAAATCTCTTGATATCATCTCTATCATTATAATTTATCTGAAAATATAATTCTTTACCTTCGATGCACCACATAACCATCTATAATACTACTATTTAACCTAACTTAGGATTAACTACTCAACATTATTTCATCGCTTTTATTTATTTATTGATTACCATATTTTCCTAGACTAAGATTATTAGATCATTCTAATTATAGCTTAATAAAGATCTAATAAATTTGTTTTTTCTATTTGCCTATTTTTATAGAACTATTTTGAGCTGTGTGGGGTCTTTCTATAAAATATTTTTAGATTACATCAGGTTTTTTATTTATTATTATTTATCAATTTAAACTAGTAATTAAAATTGCTATATTCAAGATTTTAAGAATAAATATTTTATCAAATATATTCAAGTGTTAATTATTATTATTGATAATAGAATGATATTCTGTTTTATTAAGCTTTTCGAAACTTTAATAGTTTATATCTGAGGTTGAAATATCTTTTTCCTAAAGCATACCTTCTAGTAGTGCAATAAAATCCAATACTTTTATGTAATACTATTATGAATAAGAAGTTTGATTTAAAGAAATTTTGAATAATTATATATAAAAATACAAAAGACTCAGAATAATAGAGCTCAACAATTCGTTCCTTTGTATATCCACCTATTCCTACTTATTCAAAAAAGTAGAGCGCTTTAAGTGTCTTATCTTACCCGAGTTTCTTAGATTTATCTGACAATTATTAAAATTTCTTTCTCTTTCGCCTAGCATTTTTAAGGGAATCAATGTATTGTTTTAGGTTAGACCCCATCTTAATTATCCCTTCATATCTATCTTAGGATAAGGAATAATTAAATTTAACAATATCATAAAAATATCAGTATTAAAGCTTTTGCATTATGATGCCCTTTGAAAGTGAAAATAATGCAATTACAATTTTTTGGTAATCCTTGTTATTCTTATTTCTGTTATTGCTTCAACAAATTTTATATATATATCTTTTTTTGATGAAAAGGTTTTACAATCTCTTTAATTTTCGATATTTTTAAGATTAGACTAAAATAAATGTCTCTAATTGTCAATATTTTTAGAGTGCTTCTTAACATTTCTTTATAATTAAGTTTAGATTATTATTTTAAGTGTTAAATATTTGTAAATTAAGAATATATCAATCAAATGGAAAAAATTTATTGTGTTCTGATAGAAAAATGATATGCTAGTTCTAAGTCTGCTCTTTAGCCAAACACTTACATGATATTTAAATTAAAATATGCAAAAATCTTTTAATTCGAAGGTATTATATTATTAGGGAAAGAATATTTATTCGATAAAATTTAATTAGTCACTCAAACTTATTTTAAATCATCTGAGAGGGTTATGAGAAAGAATTAAAATACAAAATATGAATTTCACTTTGGTCTAAATGAATATTCAAAGAAATTTAATAATAGATCGCATAATAATTATAAGGTAGCAAATGGGTCAGTTTTATGGCGAAAATGTAAATTAAATTAATCAAAAATGATTGCCTATATTGATAAACTCTAAGATGTAATAAGAATGATGAATCAATTCGAAGCACATAAATGTTAAGATTTGTTACTGACCGTTAATTGTGATCATAATTTTATATTTGAAATTTATTACATCATAAAATTTAGTCTTTTCCTTTATAAAATTGATTTAAGTTACTTACAGCATTTAGAATTTGATAAAGATTTAAATATTCATTCGTTTTCGAAAAATATAAATTAGATAATACCAAATAAAGCATTATCATATTATGTTATTGAACTTTACAACAATTCTAGAAAATTTAAGACTTTCACATAAATTAATCAAATATTAAAATAACTTAATAATAAATTACCAATAATTATTTTATATTTCTGCTATACTTAACCATCTAAGTAGATTTTTAATTAACATAAATTTAATAAAATTTACATAACTTATGTATTTCTATTAAAATTAATAATATTTTTTTTGATGATAATTGGTGGAACTATTAATTATTTATTTGGTGGAAAACCATTTCCTTTGAGAGTGAAGTTAAATAAAGTTGTTGGCTATTATTATTCAGAAGAAAAAGAACTTGTTTGGAATTAATGTGAAGTTTATGATGGAGAACAAACAGCAATTATTTATATTGAGCATCCATTATAATTCCACGCGAAGAATGTGATTTAGCAATAACCTATAATGGAAATTTTTTAATTTAAGAAGGAAGACGAAAAAGTGATTGTAGATAAATTTAAAATAGAAAGAGTATAATACTTAAGTTATTTTAGTTTGACGAATTGGAAGTAAATTTAGATGAATATATTTTAAATTAAGAATTATGTTGATGAAACATAAATTGATTAAGAATTATCAGGAAAGACGTATTATAATATCAAAGCAAGAGTTATTTCCGTAGATCTTAAGAAAACAAAACCTTAATAAACTTAATAACTCTATTATAAAGTATAAATAGTTTAAGATATCACTTAACATGAATAGATACTTATGATTTTTGAAAATCAAATTCAGGAATTTTAATCTATTAATTTGAAAGCAGGAGGGAATTATATCTTTTACAATATTTCAAATGGTATTTATTAGTATAACCCGGATCAATCAGTTGTCTTGTAACAAGAATAAAGGCTGTACGCTGGATTAAATACTAAAATACATCATATAAAATAAGAATTAGACTTTGTTGATTTCAATTTAGTAAACTACCAAAATTGCTCTAAGTATTACAATTTTTTTGGTTATATTTTAAAAATAAAAGCTTCAAAAAACAAAGATCCCTAATATCAAATATTAACTCTTATTAGCATTTAAAAAGTAAAAGTATATGTATTAATTCCTCATATATTTTGTGAAAAAATACCTATTCGAATTGAATAAGATTAAATTTACGGATTTAAAAATGTTAAAATTATAAAATATTCTTATCGGTATGTTCTTTTGTTTAATGGGTTCTCATCATTGATTTAGAATTTAAATATTCTCTCTTAGAATAAATTTCTAAAACAGGACTTTTAAAAATATACAAAGCTTTAATTTTAAATGTAATGCAAAAGTCTAGAAGATGTAAAAAGTGGATTTATTGATAAAGAATGTTACTATGTTAAAGCTAAGATAAAATCAATCCAAATAGAACCTAGTTAAAATACAGATTAAATCAATTTGATTGTTGTATTTTAAAATACCAACAATTCAGAAATTATTGTAAGAGTTGATAGACATAAGCATATTGTAAAAATTTTAAGTAAAACATCATCTAAAATAAGGTGTGGATAAATTTATAACAGAAAGTCCTGAGAAAACATTTAATATATTTACTCGTCTATTTTATGAAACTATTTTATAGAAATCATATGGGGGGTAAAATATGGATTTTGTAATTGAGGGATTTAAAAGTAATTTATAAAATGAAAATCAACCTTATTTTAAAATGGTTAAAATTGTTGAAAAAAGTAATATCAAGAGAATAAAACAAGAGTGAATATTATAATCACAAAAATATATATATTTTTATGAGATTTTTAGAGTTCTTGATAAGAATTCTATTCTTCTTATACTTTTTGTGAAATATATATTTTCATCCTTATATCTAGACGTTCACAATTCGTATATATTTTTTTTAAATCATTTAATTAGTTTATATTGTTTGGCAAATAATAAATTCAACTTCTATAGAATTCGGTAAAATATTAACAATTAATATATCTAAAACAACATTATTGTCAATTTAACAGACAGCCATTTTGAAAAATTGAGTTTTAAGTCGATGCTGTCAAAACATATCAGTTTTTACAAATAATATAGTTTAGAAACCGATAATGCGTGTCTACTGATTTGGTTTATGTGTTGTCTTTGTACACACTCAATATTAAATCATTATTGGTATTCCTTTTCTGTTCTTTAAAATAAATTTTTTGCCTCAGTCTTTCTACTCTACATAATATAATAAAGAAGATCAATTTTTATAGCACTTCTCTTTTAAAATTTTATTTCTGTTAATGATCTGGCTCAATAAACTTATATCAATAAATAGAGAATTCAAAATTAATACAAAACAAATTACTAATAGTCGCTATTTAACTACTTAGGTTATATAAATTGATTCATTACCAAATTAAAAATTTTTCTCTAGGATCATTTTATTCAAAACTTATAATGGTGAAAATTATTTTTAAGTGAAATTTTGGATTGATAATTTAAGCTACTATTTCTTCAAAAACATTCGAAATTCTATTTTTATTACACAAGTGTAAAAATTAAATAAAAAAAAAAATTCCTATCTATAAGAAATCTAGTTATGAACAGAAAAAATAAATAAGAAAATATTCTAAGACTCGGCAAAATCCAACATATAAATATGAATTTATAGAGGCAATTACTGTAACTATACCAAATATGAAATAAATTACAGTTCCATCAAGAAATAATTTTTCTAGAAATTCAGATGAGGATATATAAATGAAGACATAAGACGTCAAAACGAAATAGAAATTCCTGAGTCATAACCAATTCCATACACATAGTTACTCCAACGTAAACCCTAAATTACTTAAGATGCATACAAAACTCAGCAAAAATATTTTGCAGATTAAATCTTATTTATAATACTTTGTAAGCAAATTTAGTTTGATATATATTAAGATTAAATTATTAAATTTTTTTCAATTCTTTTAAATAAATTTATTTCTTAATTAAAGTTAATTTGTTAAATCTCAAAACTATTTAACTTATAATTTCTCGGTAATTTTGACCCCAAAGGACCTGTAAGACCGAAATATTGACTTTTATATCTTTTAAAATAACTAATTTTGGATTAATAATTAAAAATGTTGATAACAAATATACCCTAGACACTTTTTTCTTTACTTACTATACAACTTATGATAAATGTAATATAAAAAATAAAGTGTCTACTGATTATAAAAAGCAATTATTTATCTTTTCCTCCTCGTTAAGTTGCTTTTTGGTTTCACTTCAATTGATGACTATTAATTTGTTTGATAAGATTCTTGAGAAAGTTCTTCATACTTCTTTTCTAGTTATAGTAGAATCTTCCGTAAATTTGTTTATTTTAATTTTATAATGAATCATTTGTAAATTATTTTTTATTTTTATTTTTAATCAAATTGGTATTTAATTATAATTCGTTATAAATTTAGGTATTAAGATTGAACAATTGAATTTTACTTGATTCAAAAACTTATACGACATTGAAAAATAATATTAGATATAAATTACTAAAATTATTAGTATAAAAATTGTTCAAATGAAAAAAGTGATTAATCAAAAACACTAGGATAAAATTTAGTTTAAAATTGAATTTTATTAAATAAAAACATATAATCCATTGTGGACCAACTTAATTAAAGATAATTTATAAAAAATTCTATTGGTTAATTAATTTATTAGAATAATAAATAAAAAGCAATATTAAATAGTTGAAAAGTTAAAATTAATAAAATAAATACATCAAATCCTTTCAATTACTATCAAATAGATTTCAATACTACCCTTACTATTTTAACTCTGGTTTAATAGTTATTAATGCCTTGAGTAATTAATAAAAAATTTAATTTTTAAGCTTTTTCTAAAAAATGTTATTGATTCTTAACATAGCACATCTATAAACAAATTAAACAAGCGCTTCTGTAACAGATTATCCAAGTACTTGATTTATAAGGTTATTTAAATGAAATATCAAAGTTTTGTGAAGAAATTTTTAAGTATTCATTTACATATAGGATTATTATTATTGAAAAAAATTATAGAATCTATTTTAAATAAAAATTATTAAACTCAAAAAATCTAACTTCTCTAATATCTCTTTTTTTATTTCTTTTAGAGGTATTAACTATCCTTTCAATAGTTCTATAAAATATCTAGCAGACTGCCTAGAATATTATCAAACGTACAAACTTTAATAAATATATTTAAAAATGTATTTTCGATGAATTGAACAAAATATTTTATTATATAAAATCATTTTGAATTAAAAAATCAAAAAAAATAAAAATAAACAATTTAAATTTTTTTTTAGAATTAGAAAATTGTAATAAATTTTAGAAAAGGATTAATGTATTTTTTCACAAATACTTTCATTTGTGATATGAATATAAGCCAAGATTGAAATTGAGCTAATCCTAATACTTTATGTTTTGTTATGGATACTTAGTATTAAATTATGCCGAGATTGATCGTTCACGCTCAAAATTATTATTTGGAATATTATTTTATTTATCTTTAATTTAATGCTCTAGTATTCCTTCTTTTTCAAATTATACTTTTGCTGGTTTAAAATATGTAACATCTTTAGTATTATTATGAGCTTAGGATATTTTATAATTTTGGTTTAATTAGATTTGAATATCATTTATATTATTTGCTTATACACGATTAATAGGTGCTTATATTTTTTAAGANTTGAAAAATAATATTAGATATAAATTACTAAAATTATTAGTATAAAAATTGTTCAAATGAAAAAAGTGATTAATCAAAAACACTAGGATAAAATTTAGTTTAAAATTGAATTTTATTAAATAAAAACATATAATCCATTGTGGACCAACTTAATTAAAGATAATTTATAAAAAATTCTATTGGTTAATTAATTTATTAGAATAATAAATAAAAAGCAATATTAAATAGTTGAAAAGTTAAAATTAATAAAATAAATACATCAAATCCTTTCAATTACTATCAAATAGATTTCAATACTACCCTTACTATTTTAACTCTGGTTTAATAGTTATTAATGCCTTGAGTAATTAATAAAAAATTTAATTTTTAAGCTTTTTCTAAAAAATGTTATTGATTCTTAACATAGCACATCTATAAACAAATTAAACAAGCGCTTCTGTAACAGATTATCCAAGTACTTGATTTATAAGGTTATTTAAATGAAATATCAAAGTTTTGTGAAGAAATTTTTAAGTATTCATTTACATATAGGATTATTATTATTGAAAAAAATTATAGAATCTATTTTAAATAAAAATTATTAAACTCAAAAAATCTAACTTCTCTAATATCTCTTTTTTTATTTCTTTTAGAGGTATTAACTATCCTTTCAATAGTTCTATAAAATATCTAGCAGACTGCCTAGAATATTATCAAACGTACAAACTTTAATAAATATATTTAAAAATGTATTTTCGATGAATTGAACAAAATATTTTATTATATAAAATCATTTTGGATTAAAAAATCAAAAAAATAAAAATAAACAATTTAAATTTTTTTTTAGAATTAGAAAATTGTAATAAATTTTAGAAAAGGATTAATGTATTTTTTCACAAATACTTTCATTTGTGATATGAATATAAGCCAAGATTGAAATTGAGCTAATCCTAATACTTTATGTTTTGTTATGGATACTTAGTATTAAATTATGCCGAGATTGATCGTTCACGCTCAAAATTATTATTTGGAATATTATTTTATTTATCTTTAATTTAATGCTCTAGTATTCCTTCTTTTTCAAATTATACTTTTGCTGGTTTAAAATATGTAACATCTTTAGTATTATTATGAGCTTAGGATATTTTATAATTTTGGTTTAATTAGATTTGAATATCATTTATATTATTTGCTTATACACGATTAATAGGTGCTTATATTTTTTAAGATTTTTATTCATAAGATTCTTAGTGATATTATTATTTAGATATTTCTAGTTCTTTAATTTTAAGATTCAGATCTTAATTTTGTTATTCGTATCTACTAATTTATGTTTGTTAATTTTACAACTTTTTGTCCTAATTCATATTTTATTCATTCTTAATACTAATTTCCTTTTAAAATTCTTGACATTTAGTTTCGCAAAAATTTAATTATTGTGATTATTCTTAAATTTAATTATCTTTAGTTTTTATTTTTTCTTCAAAGAATTTAACTTGTTTTATTAAGTCTTATATCTATAAATTTTATTTATAATTCAGGCTTTCTTATTCCTTAAGTTTATTAGTATTTTCTAGTATAATTTATTCATTCATTTTTATATGATCTTGGATTATTAATTTATTTGATAAAATTTAAGAATTCTATTGTTTTATTGTTTCATCTAAAGTTATATTTTTCTCTTAATAAGATCTAAAGTCAATTTCAAACTATTTGACTTAGTTTTAATAATTTATGATTATACTTTCTTGATCCTACAATTTGTATTTATATTCTTAAATTTTTTCTTATTATTCTTTTTCTTTCTCTTAAATTTGTTATAATTATTATTATTATTATTTTAGAGTTGCTTCTAAATCAATATTTTTATTTTTATTTAGTCTTAGATCAACTTCTAAGTTGTTAATCAACTAGCTATTTTTTTAAATTATTCTTTCTAATTCTTAATTTCTCAAATCTAATATTTATTGACTCTCCATTTAAATTTTAAGTTTTTGTTCTCTCTAATTTTCATAATCCTAATCTTACTTTTAGTGTTTTATTATTTCCTCTAACTCTTTATTTTTAATATACATTTATTCAGTTTTTTATTGTTAATTTAAAATTTATTCCACTTGCTTATTAATTTAATCTTGCTAGCTTTCAATCTTCTGTTATAATTATTATTATACATCACCTAATTATTCTTTTATTAATATTGAATTTTCTTTTAATAAGTCTTAAGTAGGCATTTAACTTTCAATTGTTAATTGTATTTTATTAATTTACTCTTGAATAATTTTAACTAATTTTTCATTGTTTTATTATTGTATGAAATTAGAATGTATAAATTACGTTAATTTTGTATCAATTAATTATATCGATTTTTAAGATTGAAATTCCTATTAATTTTGTGGCAGCTATTACTAAATTTGATTAAATATAGGAGGATTTATTTTTTACTGTTAATATATTTAAGTATTAACTGTTTATTAATAGGGTTAGAATTATTTGAAATTTTANATTCAGATCTTAATTTTGTTATTCGTATCTACTAATTTATGTTTGTTAATTTTACAACTTTTTGTCCTAATTCATATTTTATTCATTCTTAATACTAATTTCCTTTTAAAATTCTTGACATTTAGTTTCGCAAAAATTTAATTATTCTGATTATTCTTAAATTTAATTATCTTTAGTTTTTATTTTTTCTTCAAAGAATTTAACTTGTTTTATTAAGTCTTATATCTATAAATTTTATTTATAATTCAGGCTTTCTTATTCCTTAAGTTTATTAGTATTTTCTAGTATAATTTATTCATTCATTTTTATATGATCTTGGATTATTAATTTATTTGATAAAATTTAAGAATTCTATTGTTTTATTGTTTCATCTAAAGTTATATTTTTCTCTTAATAAGATCTAAAGTCAATTTCAAACTATTTGACTTAGTTTTAATAATTTATGATTATACTTTCTTGATCCTACAATTTGTATTTATATTCTTAAATTTTTTCTTATTATTCTTTTTCTTTCTCTTAAATTTGTTATAATTATTATTATTATTATTTTAGAGTTGCTTCTAAATCAATATTTTTATTTTTATTTAGTCTTAGATCAACTTCTAAGTTGTTAATCAACTAGCTATTTTTTTAAATTATTCTTTCTAATTCTTAATTTCTCAAATCTAATATTTATTGACTCTCCATTTAAATTTTAAGTTTTTGTTCTCTCTAATTTTCATAATCCTAATCTTACTTTTAGTGTTTTATTATTTCCTCTAACTCTTTATTTTTAATATACATTTATTCAGTTTTTTATTGTTAATTTAAAATTTATTCCACTTGCTTATTAATTTAATCTTGCTAGCTTTCAATCTTCTGTTATAATTATTATTATACATCACCTAATTATTCTTTTATTAATATTGAATTTTCTTTTAATAAGTCTTAAGTAGGCATTTAACTTTCAATTGTTAATTGTATTTTATTAATTTACTCTTGAATAATTTTAACTAATTTTTCATTGTTTTATTATTGTATGAAATTAGAATGTATAAATTACGTTAATTTTGTATCAATTAATTATATCGATTTTTAAGATTGAAATTCCTATTAATTTTGTGGCAGCTATTACTAAATTTGATTAAATATAGGAGGATTTATTTTTTACTGTTAATATATTTAAGTATTAACTGTTTATTAATAGGGTTAGAATTATTTGAAATTTTATTAAGGAAAATTTAATTAACTTTATTTAATTTGATTCAAAATCTCAACAACTTCATTTATTTAAATTCTTTATTAATCATTAGGTTCAAGCATCTATCTAAGTAACTATTTGATCATTTCATTTTCTTATAATTAATTAATTTTATTGAAATGAGCATCTTTATTCTATTTACAATTTAATATTTTCTATTTGGCTTAATCTTCATTTACCACTAAATATATTTCATAAAATAAAATACTATTAAATAAAGGTTCTTTTGTTAAAACCTCATAAAAAACACAACCAAGTGCCCAAATATCAACTGCAAAAGAATAATCAGATCTATTTTCAACTATTTCAGGAGCTAAAAACAGAATGGTACCAACAAATTTTGTTTTAATTTTATTTTGATCTGATTTTATTAAACCATAATCAATAAGCTTAAATTCATCTCCAATTTTTATGAAGTTTTCAGGTTTTATGTCTCTGTGTAATAATTTCTATTTATGAAGAAATTGTACAGATTTTGTTGTCTAATAAATATCAATATATACTTGGATGAGAATCTTAAGTTTTTCTTCAAATTTTAACGAGCTTTATTTTTTTATATACTCATATAAATTAAGTTCTCCTATCTCCATCACTAAGATTATTTAATTATTCCATAAAAATCTGTCAAAAATTTTAATCAATCCAGAAGGTTCATAATTTTATTACTACATTAATGGATTTTCATATTTCTTCTAGTAGGTAATTAGATTATCAATAAATTCAATTTCTTCTTGTTTTGTGAAGAATGAACACTTCAAAGCAAATTATCTAACATCATTAATACCCCAATTAATTGATTTGGCTAAATAAACAACCCCTTATATTCCTTATCCAATTTCTTTTATTGTTTCAAATTTTCTATCTGGAAAGTTATTGACAGGAGCATGAATAACACCTTGAATTTTCTAATTCTATTACATATTTTATAAAAAAATATATAAATATATATTTTTAAATTTGGAAATAAAACTGAATTATAATTAATAAAATATAATAACAAATTGATACAAAATTTCTATATGTCAGTAATAAGTATTCTGTTTTGATTTATATAATTATTTTTCTGATCACAGAAATAGAATAGGTATTCCATATGCATTAAATGGCAATAAATTTTTTTAATAAGTCTGGTTTTTAAAGCAATTAATAATACATTATCAAGACGAGACATATTTTAAATTATATTTGAAATAATCCATATCATCGTTAAAGTATTGAGACATTAAAATATTTTTAAATAAATGTAGAGCAAAAGTTGAATTAGAAATCAAAAAGTATTGGAATAAGCATACTTTAAATAAACAAAAAAAAATTATATCAATTATTATTTTATATTAATATGTTCTTCAATTTTGATATTAAATTTTATCAATTTCCTGATCTCCATAAAATACATTCCATACACCAACTTTTTCCCCATTTTAATAGTTACCATGATAAGTTGTAAAAGTATCATCTTATTCAACCTCGTACAAATCAATCCACTTTCCAATTTTAATGCCACTTTCATTATAAAATCCGCCACCGCTATATATTAAAATTCTTTATATTACAGGTATTGATGATTTTTCATTTGATCATTCCAATATGAAATCTCCCAAATGCCAACCTTTTTATCATTTTTATACTCTCCAGCATAAAATACTTATTACTTTCTCTGATAGACATCACATAAATCAATCCATTTCCCAATCTTACCACCTTATTCATCATAGCATCCTCCACCTTATTCATCATAGCATCCTCCACCCCTATCAATAATATTTATTAAATTTACGTTTGTCTTGCTGAAATCAAATAAGTTTTCCATCTCCCAACTTTTTTACCATTCATATATTCACCATCGTATATTACTTATTTCTATTCATTAAATGCTTCATCCAAATCAATCCATTTTCCAATCTTAATTTCATTACCTTTATTATCATAGCATCCCCCACATCTATAAAATTATTTATAAAATTTACATTATTCCTGAAATCAAAATAGTATTCCATCTACCGACTTTGCTACCATTTTAATATTCACCCTTATAAAAAACTTATTTCTTTTCATTAAATCCATCATCCAAATCAATCCATTTTCCAATTTTAATGCCCTCACCTTGTTCATCATAGCATCCACCACCTCTATAAAGAATATTTATAGAATTTATAACAACATTTAAAATTCTGAAATCCAAAAAGCATTCCATCTACCAACTTTAATGCCATTTTTATATACACCCTTATAAGTTACTTATTTCTTTTCATAAAATCCGTCATCCAATTCAATCCATTTCCCAATCTTAATGCCATCGCCTTGTTAATCATAGCATCCACCACCTCTATAAGATTATTTAGAAAATTTAATTATACATTTTTATAGATTCCTTACCAGTATTCCACCAACCATCATAACAACATTACTAACCACTATAAACATTTTTATATATTTATCTACATTTCAAATCCTGAAATCCAAAAAGCATTCCATCTACCAACTTTGTTACCATTTTTATATTCACCCTTATAAGTTACTTATTTCTAACTATAAAATCCGTCATCCAAATCAATCCATTTCCCAACCTTTATGCCATTATCATAGCATCCACCACCTCTATAAAAAAACTTATAGAATTTATTTCTACATTTCAAATCCTGAAATCCAAAAGGCTTTCCATCTATCAACTTTGTTGCCATTTTTATATTCACCTTGATAAGTTACTTATTTCTAACAATAAAATCCCTCAGACATATCAATCCATTTCCCAATCTTAATACCTTGCTCATCATAGCATCCACCTCCACTATAAAATATATATTTCTATAATTTAATTCTACATCTATATTCCTGAAATCCAACAAGCATTCCATCTACCAACTTTTTTACCATTTTTATATTCTCCTTTATGAATGACATAATGTCGCCTAATAATTATTGATATAAAAAATCTATCACCTATAAAACTAATCATCTGATTCAATTCCTTTCCCATCTTTGTTCTCAATCATTTAAAAATTTATATTTGACATATTTTTCCATTCAAAGCGTATGTTCCATTTACCAAATTAAAAATAATCTTTCTTCCTAGTGATTTAACTTGAACTAATTAAAATTATGAATAAATCAAAATACTTCCTAAATCCCTCACTCAACTCAACCCAAATGCCTTATTTAATATCACCAGGAGATTAATCATCTAACTTTTCTTAATACCATCCATCAGCACTAATTAACAAAAAAT